TAAGAAAATAGAATTAAAATTGAGAAAGATGCAATATTCAGAGTATACGGTATCAGTGGCGTGGGCTTGATCGATGCCATGGGAGCGATTTGGTCGTGGGCTCCAGATGGGAAGAATAAAAAGAATGAGGATGGGGCCAGCGAGACTGGGGGTGTACACGGTGATCACGTGATCCATAATGATCAGAGTAAGATGGCCGTGGAAAGGAGCAAGGTGGAGAAGAGTATGGAGGAATAATGTGCTGAGGTGGGGATGTAGGATAATGCGAGACAGGAGTATCTCGATTAAATCTGTTTACAGGATAAGCAGACGAAAAATGGCGAGCTGATCTATAATTATAATGTGAGTGGTTTGATAAGTTGGCTCGCTGATGCCCATCCCGATTCCCAGATATCTGGTTCGGCTGACCATCAAATTGGCATTTGCCGTATGCTGCATGCCAGCCAACTGGGCTCGAGCGATCAGTTGTCATTTTTTCCCTACGAGAAGAAACTTCCTTGGTTACGATTTCAAAAATAGCTCTCGAGGGAGGAAGATGAAGTCCATCAACTGAAATCGACTGAGAAGAAGAATGTGCAGGTGGTGACGGAGATTGGGACTTCGGGCTAAATTGAGCACTAGTTGAATGAGGGAAAAACTTCTTGGGAGTGGTATCAGGAAGTCGGGGATCATACGCTGGTCGACGGAGATCGAGGTCCTCCTCAGGAAAAATGGCTTCAGGTTGAGCAACATTGCCACCCTCAAGTTCAATAGAAGTCAGGCATGTGTTTGTAGGCCCGGGGACGCGATAGTCCATGTCGATGACTAAATTTGCTTTATCTTGATCGGGCCCTGAGATGGAACCAGAAGGGCAGACTCGCTTAGCCGAAATTTCAGATTTTCCTGAAAACGAGTTTACATTAAGAGGCAAGCTTGATGATGGCATTGAAGGATGTGTGATGGATGACTCAGCAGCCAACGTAGCAGGTCGTTTAAGTGCAACGGGTTGACGCAAATCAAGATCCTGAGTGAGCAAGCAACGATCATCGCGATCCCGATCATCCCTATCATCTTTGGAACGTGCACGAATATGGCTGTTGAGTTTCGGACATCGAGGAAGGCGGGAAAATAGGGTGTTTGTGTCTCCAGATAGGGAAGGTATATCGGAGGGCTGGGAATCTGAGATAGGTTTATCTAAAAGCAAAAGAGAGCTTAACTAAGTATATAAAAAAAACAGATGTACTATCGAGGCAAGGCAAATAAGCAGACAGGAAAATAATAAGATGAAGATACATACTAAATGGAGAGAACTAAGATTGCTTCTGAATAAAATTGATATACATTTAAACTGCTGGCTCCTGATGCTTCCTTCATACTATTATTCCCGATCCTATTTTTCACACGGCAAATGCTCCAAGTTAAGTTTAAAATATAATAGTGACATAAAATAAAGAATAAAAGCTGTGAAAATAAATTCCTTAGACCAAAAAAATTCCAAATAATAAATTCCAATCCGTAGAAGGATAATAAGTATTTTAAATACAACGGATCCAGACCAACTTACCGGGACTAACTTGATCAGTCTCGGAGCTTCCAGGCTCCTCTAACATGTCATTGTGCTGGTCAATGTCCCTAAGTAAGGCGACATCATCTAGTTGTCCAATTTTAGATGGACTGCTAAGACCTGGAATCCCAGGCCCAGTGGAATGTTGCAGAGGATTTATATGCCAACTGAAGCAAGACGAATCACTGGTGTGACAGACAAGACTACCAGCGGAAGAAGTTGAATTGACTTCGATTGGGGCCATCGAATTAATAGAGCCTGAGATGGTTGGCGAAAATGATACAGCAGGTTCCGCTCTGTGGGGAAGAATGGCACGATCATCTTTGTCTTGGCTAATCTTCCCACTAGTGCGGCAAACTTTGGCAGATGGAGCCGAAATTAAATTCTTTTTTAAAATGCTTGCTACCCCCGAAAAGTTGGAAACGGAAAAAGATGGGATGGGACAGGATTCTGGAGCTTCAATTGGACTGATGACACATGAGCTTCGAGTAAGGGGAGACAAAGTAGGACGCAGGTCAGAGTCCTGGCAAGTAGGTTTTTTCACAGAATTAGAGGGCACTGAAGAGATGGGTTCTCCTGACATGAAAGACATGCATGGGCTTGCAAGACAAGATGGACTAGTCTGAACTGAGCTGATAGGTAATTCAGAAGGACGTCTTTTTTGGAAACTACCAGTAGTAGAACTGGTCATCTGTTCCATTGATAAAGCAGTTAATGGGGATTTACGAATCCTACGAGAAGCATCAACCTCGGACTGGCGCACAATGACCAAAAGAAGTTGATGTTGATGATGCTTCCGTCTGAGCCCTGGAGAAAGGCCCAGGCCATAGGCGAGAAATTCCGCTTTTGAATCGGGTGTATAATCCGG